AAAGTATTTTTTAAAGCGTAACATAGAGAGATCACAATGGTATACTTTACATGATATTTAAACAATATTCTTGATATAACATAATATGTTGTACATGGTTGTCTGGAACATCGATATTATGTTAATGTTACTTAGTGTTTACTGGATATGTATTATTAAATTATAAGTATTCTGTAGAACCTTAATCATTATAAAAATGTTTGGTTATATTAAATTTATTTTAAGAGTTCATTTTTGTATCATTATTATTTATACATTATATACATTTATATACATTATATATTATTTCTGTATTTTTTTAGAGTGCGAGTCGTGGCATTTGTGTTGAAAGTGGGAAAGACAGAAGATACTCAAAGTAATACTGTGTGGAAAGTTGGGATATTTACCTAAAATTATTATTGGCACAATAGTGGTAAGATATTATGATGAAGAATAATTTGTCTGAGAAATAAAATGAAGAATTTTGTTTTTTTTGAAAGTATTTTTTAAAGCATAACATAGAGAGATTACAGTGGTATACTTTACATCATATTTAAACAGATTCTTAAAAAGCAATCTTGAAAAGCAAAATGGATTATTATATTCAATTAGTGGAACAAATTCACAGATCAATTATCCACATATATATTCAATTATATTTTAAAACCTTTTTCCAAATTAAATTTTGGGAAAGGTGATGCGCAGTGTGTAAAACAGACATCACCAATCGGATTAAGGAGATTATTCTCCTTAACTAAGCAATCTGATTGGTGATGTCTGTTTTACACACTGCGCATCATCCTTCCCAAAATTTATCTTAAATATGATTGTTAAACCGTTTATAGATATACAAAATATGTCACGGGCAAAACCTTTTTACAAACGTGCAACCAGTTCCTCACATAGAATGAAAATAATAAAGTTGGAAACAGAATTTATAATGGAATCTTTTGATAAACCATCAACATCCGATTTGACATCGCTTTATAAAAATAAATTACAAAATAAAAATGAATTAGAAAAGGAAAATGAATTACAAAATGAAAATGAATTAGAAGATGAAAATGAATTTCAAAACGAAAATGAATTACGAAATGAAAATGAATTACAAGACGAAAATGAATTACGAAATGAAAATGAATTACAAGACGAAAATTTTGTATCTGATAATGATACAATATTAACAGAACCTGAGTTTTTTGACCATAACATTAGAGTCTTGCAAAATGTTACAAACAATGTTATAGAAAGTAGTGATTCAAATAGTGGATCAGATCAAAATATTGATTTTAAAAAGTTTTTAGCTGATTGGGCAGTTACAGAATACATTCCACAATCATCATTGCGTTTGTTATTAAAAGGTATAAAACAATATACATGTCAAAATTGTCATTTTGATATTCCATTTGATCCAAGAAGTCTTGTACATACTCCTCGAAATACTGATACAGAAGTTTGTGGTGATGGTCATTATTATCACTTTGGTTTGTCAAAAGCAATATTAAATGCTATATCATCGATTTCAAGAAATACTACTAATATTAAAATATCTATAAATATCGATGGATTACCATTATCCAAATCATCGCAACGACAATTTTGGCCAATTTTGGGATCTATAAATAACAATAAAAAAGTTTTTGTTATTGGTGTTTATTATGGCATACAAAAACCGTCTAACTCAAATGAATTTCTTAGAAAATTTGTGGATGATACAAAAATATTATGTGAAGAAGGAATTATTATTAATAATGAAAATATCCTATGTACAATAGATTCGATTATATGTGATGCGCCAGCAAAAGCATTCATATTGAAAATAAAAGGACATAACGGTTATTCAAGTTGTACGAAATGCATTACCGAAGGCAGTTATATTAAAGGCAAAATGTGTTTTCCTGAGATGAATGCGCAACTACGGATAGACGCAGATTTCCGTTTAAGAAGAGATGAAAATTATCACATTGGATATTCAATTCTCTCAGAAATTCCAAATTTTGATCTTGTGCACAATGTACCTATAGATTATATGCATCTTGTTTGCTTAGGAGTTATGCGAAAATTATTGTACATATGGTTATTTGGAGAACTTAAAGTTCGTTTACGACACAGAAAAGTTGAAGCAATCTCATGGCAGCTAGAAAATGTATTAAAATTATATATGCCATGCGAATTTGCACGTAAACCAAGATCACTTACTTTAGTGAAACTATGGAAGGCTACAGAATTTCGAAATTTGCTACT